GCTCTGCACTGCGGTCCCCGCGCCCGCTCCACGCGGACAAAGGGCGCGCGAGGGCCCTGCGTCGCCGCGCCCGTACCGCGCGCGTTCCTGCGGAGGGCACTGCGCTGCACAGCTGTGTCCGGCCCCAGGCAGCCGGACGTGCCCCTCGCTGGGGCGTATTGTGTTTGTTTATTTTTTGCATAAATCCACGCGTATTGGAAAAAAACACAAGTGCTTGAGACGCAGAAGGCTGATACGTGCATGTTCGGAGTCGTTATTGTCCTGCCCAGGCTCGCGGTTTGTTCGCTTTTCCCTTGGAGGCGAGGAGGGGTTGCAAGCGAGGAGGTGGTTGTCCACGTCCTCGGTGGGATCCCTAAGCGGCGAGGGAGGGGAAATCACGGCGCATATAGGGAGGAGAAGTAGGAAAGCCCTAGTGCTGCAACAGGGACATGATGCACAAAGGGAGCACTTGTTGAGCCCCATAGTTTGCTGAACTCAATGGAGATGTGGTTTTGAAGCATATATTTTTGTCCTGAGCTGATAAAAACTGAGATATAGGAAAATGCTATCGTTTCAGAGGAGAGACCCTGCAAGGGGGAGCTGGTGGCAGCCTTGCCGTGTAGGTGTGGTTCCTGCTAGGACTTGATCTCTGGCTCCCTATTGTTTCCTCAACCAGCCCTGCTTTAGTTGCCTTTCCCTTGGTTCTCCTGCATGATATTTCTGGGAAGGGGCGGCCTGGTCCCAGCCAGGCAGCTTCCTTGTGACCTGCTTGTCTTTGTCGCTGCCATTGTCTCCCATGGACTGAGGTAGATGCTTTGTCATTCAGAGCCTCTTTCAGCATTGCACCCTGCTATTTTTTTTGCCTAGCTTCTGATTGTGCCAAAACAGATTGGGCTGCCTTTTAGTTAAATTGTTAAAATATATAGAAAATGGGTAGAACTTCTGCTCTCAAGACATCTGGTGCCACCCTTCCTCTGAAGAAACGCTCCTCACTCTTCTTGAAGCTTCTATTGTGCGGTCCCTGTTGCGTAGCCCTGCTGTTGCTACCTCCTGTCGCAAAGCAAACAGCCACTTGCTGGGTTGGGTATTATTCACAGGGAATGCTGTGGCCTGTTTATTCATCCTTCTGGATTAGAAGTCACCTCACTGCTCCTGGTGTCAGATGATTTCATTGGGTTTTTTGCCTGCTAGCAAAGGGGGGGGGGAACTTGATCAGATGTAGAGGTGCATTGTTCTGGATTAGTACATTGGGCATCTGAAGCTGTATGTGTGCAAGGTAAAGATGGCCTTGACTCATCCTTTTCTCTTTGGAAAGCATGCTGTAGTCTGGAAAAATTGGCTTCTCAACCTCTACTCTCAACAGGGTCTCAATTGGATTTAGGGTTCTTGATGCCTTTGCCTCAGTATCTTCTCTGGTGTCCCTCATAAACATCATCACTGAAAACTGTGGATTCATGTGCTAAACTGCAGACCAACATGTCACAGCCAACAACATCTGCTGATAACACATCAGTAGCATGATGCTATGCAACTTGGCAAAGTACAGAGTCATTTTTTGAAGCATCCTGAAGAGGCAATGGCTTAGCAAGCTGCTTTTTTCAAAAATTAAATTTGTTTTGAGGAGCCATTTCCTTAATGGGGCAATCTTCTACCATCCACCAAAAAAAAAAGGGGGGGGCAGTGAAGAGAAAGCTTCAAGATCTTTTCACTGTCTTAGCAAATGCTGCTGCATGTGCCCTGTCTGCTGTCTAGTCCTGTGTCTAGCAGTGTTGCACTCCCAAGGCTGCAGAAGGAAATGGTTCCTGTTCAGTTGCATCTCCTCTAGTTGTTTCCATGCTGCTGAAGACTTGCATTGTTGGGTTGACCTTGGATTTTTGTTTCCAGTTTTACCTTCATTCTCTCCCAAGCTGATTGAATTATTTGCATAACTTCTACATCCAGAATGCTGAATCATGAAGCTACAGATCTGGGATATTTTATTCCAACCCCAGCTCGAGTGTTTAGGACTACTATGTGTGTGTGATATGTCCAGGATCTTTTTTATTATTTTCCTCTTTGCTTCCTTTCTCTTCTTTGAGTCCTGTATTTTGGATATCAACTGGCTCAGTAGTCTGACTTGTTTAACCACAATTTTATCCCTGCCACGAACTTGATCTGCAACAAAAGCAGCCTAGGGGTGGTGGATCAGCCCCAGTCATTAGTGACATTGCTGAATCATAGTCCACATCACTTAACTGGCTGTCAGGAAGCTTTTTAGTCTCCCTTCATGAGCCTGCTGTCAGAGACAAGTGAATTGTTATCTTCTAGCTTCTTGAAGTTCAGCACTCACTTATTCAATACACTTCAGCTTTGTGAAAGTCCTGGCTTTCATATGCGCTCTACATGCATGCTATTACATTATCTTTACTTTCTTGCTCTCAAATATTCCAGCACCTGAAAAACATTAAAGCCTACTGAGCTGCATTTGTCTGCCAAAACTATGCCCCAAAAGTGTACCGTATGGCCAAGATATTTTTTTGAGAAATGAAAATAAGACTTAGAGACTTGCTGCTTATGCCTCTTTGAAGAGGTTTTTGGCTCTTGAAATGTGGATCTTCCTTTGCATGAAGATAGTACTAAGATCTACAATGGGTGACCTGCAGTGCAGGTCTGGTCTTTCTGCTCTTCCCCTTCTTCCCCTCATCACCTTCAACCCTAGAGCATGGCTGCTTCTACACAAAACCTCATGCTTCTCTTCTACTGAAAAACAAGAAAGATGAGGAGGTAACAATGAAGTGAGTGGCCCCAAATCCTGACAGTTAACTAGCAGAAGAGTTAGTGTGCATTGGAGAGAGGATTTGACTATGCTCTTCAGACTTCTCCTTGGTCCCATGTCTACCAAACCCAAAAGTGATATGACTCAATTGCATGGAAAGACATTGGCAGACATATGGGAAAGGGCCACTAGAAGCCCGCAGTCACTCCTGTATGTGCCTGCTGATTTGTATATATCTGCTGACATTCCCCCTGGAAAAAGAGTATTGCTAAAGTTGGTGTTCAAAATGGCAGGAGTGCCTGGACTTACCTCTACTGCAGCTGCCTGCTCATCATTTTTCAAAGATAATCAGAAAATTATAGAAAAAATCTTAAAGCATGCTCACATACTTTAGTTTTTAATTTAGCCATCAATTTGTTATGCTAGGAAACTAATTTTTCTTCCATTAAATTACTGTCCTTAAAAATCATACAGCTTATGAGCATGTGTGTCAAGTCCTTTACTGTAAGGAGTAGCATTGTGGAGTTTATTCTTATCTTAAAAGAAGAAAGATCAAGCATAGTACTTTTAAATCTTAAAGAAAACTAGAGTTTTGATACTTCATAAATAAAATATCACTTTAATTTTAATTTAAAATGAGATGCTTCAAACTTTTGAATAAAGGAGTCAACAATTTAATACTTTGTATTTAAATATTAATTTGCAATATGCTAGATGATGGCTTTTTTTCCCCCTCTCTTCTTCCCCCCCCATGGGGACAAATACAATTGTCTTGCAATATGGCTAAAATAATCAAAGTTATTCTTCTCCAATTTTGTAGATATTGATCAGTATGTTAGTGTATTGCTACATTAAAGTCAACTTAGGGACATCAAAAGAAAGCCCACTTATTTTTGGAAAAACTGAACTCCTCTTGCCTTTCTGATCCCTGTCCAAAGTGTTCTTCCTGAATGAATACAAAGTTGGAGGGGGAAAAAATAGTTGCGTGCCTCACAAAAGGAAGAGAAGCTGTTTTTGAAATTTAGAAACATGTAAATGACATGAATGTAAATTCAGAAGTACTCAGTGAAAACTTCCAGTGCTCATATATCAAACTAGATGTGTTTTGTATTTTGAATTTTAGGCATCCGATCATGGGACACAAACTTGGTTGAATGCAACTTGGATCAAGAACTTAAACTTTTTGTGTCTCGCCATTCAGCTCGATTTTCTCCTGAAGTTCGAGGTGAGTTTCTTCATTTTTTACAAGTTTGTCAGTGTGGTGTGTGTGTGGTTTTTTTTTTTTTTTTTTGGTTGTGTTGGTGTTTTCTTTTTTAAAAGTAAAATAAATATGGACAGGTATGGCATGGCCCACTTTTTTCCTGCAATTCTTCACAATTAATACATTTTATTCTAAAATTATCATTCATTTTAACTTTCTGACAAAAGGAAATGTTTGAACTCTTTTGAAAATGATTAGACTTCTAATTTAGCTTCGTGTATATTGCTATGATTGCTTTGGCAGCAGATGTAAGCATTAGGGCCCCACTGAGATTAAGTGAAACTTGGTTTCTGAGCAAGCAGTTTGTGTAATAACAGTCTAATAGCACTGAGGACTGAAGCTGTTCCTGATGTCCATGTAACATGCACACACAATGTTCCTTTGTTCTCATTTTGCTAGACATCCTCTAGGAGGTAAGAGTGACTTATCCTCCATGCCCCCAGACTGATGGCAATTTGTGGCTTGTCTTGCCTCTATAGCAATGGTTGTTGAGGTGGAAACTTGTCACTTAGGACCAGCCTTACCAGCTCATGTCCATGGGTTGCTTGAAAACTATCCAGTAGTGACCTCAGGGTTAGGAACTGAGATGATGAAGAAAGTGATAACTAGCCCTCTAATAAATGACTGCTGTGTTCCATTCTCAGCGGTATTGGTGGAGAACCCTAAGCAAGCATTTTTCTGTAATTCAAGCATTTCATTGCAGGTTTTCTTCAGTGGGTTATCTACCTTGGTGTATCTGCTTTAGGCAAAATTGCATCCCATATTCTTTGGATGCCTAGGCTGTTCAGTCCCTCAAAATACACAGATACTGCAAGGTCTGCAAGTGCCATAAAGGAATTCAGTAGAAACCTTGTGACTCTGGGCTAACCCAGAGCCACTTGCTACCTTTATCCATGGGAGTCCCAAAGAGCAGACAGTTGTCTGGCCTTCTGGTTTATCTAAACAACTCATTCCTCCTTTGCTGAAAGGGCCCTTTCCCCCTTAGAATGTTGCTCCATAGTGTTGGTAGAGTCAGAACTGGTATGACTGCTGTTATGTGAATATGACTGAAACCCAGTGTTTCTGCTCAGATGATTCTGAGCTCTTCTTGGTATGTAAAGCTGAGGGGTGAGCCACTGTGAACACAAGACCTTTCTTTGGCTTTTATGAGGAAATTAAAATTTTCCAGGGCTCATGAGTCTGTCTTCTGTTCTCTTTCTTTTCAAGCCTGTCCTCCATTTAAAGGAATCATGCCAATAAAATTGTGTAAAACTCGGTTTTATTCTGATTTCAGGGAATCAGATGTTTGGAAAGTCATTATGCAAATACTGAACGAGCATGTGTGAAACTTTTTGCCTTTCAGGTTTAAAAAAAAAAAAAAGTAGCCTTCTTGAAATAGTATAGGTTACATTCAGTGGTGAATCATTATGGATATGAGCACATTGACAGGTCTAACCTAGTATAGTATTGACGAATTATAAATTCTGGCCTTAGAAATGTCACTTAAGTATGGTGAAGATGATGAAATGTATCATAATACTCATTATCCCTCAAAACATGATGTAGTATACACTGTTGACAATGATCCTGATGTCTTCCTAGCATGATGGTGTTGATCTGATGGTCCTGAATAATGTACCAAAATGACCTGCATAAATAATTATTCTCTCTCTCTCTCTCTCTCTCTCTCTCTTTTTTTCCCCCCCCCTCTGGGAACTAATTCTGGGGTGAGGTCTGATCCCCCTAGAAAGACCCCTAAATGGTCTTGCCTTCTAATCTTGGGGTTTTGAAATGCCTGGTGCCTACCCTGGTATGGTGCATTATGGCCATCCAGGATGCTTTCCTAACATCAGACTGTCACAAAATCTTGCACAGTTCTCAGACTGCACTGAGTTTACACAGACTAAAAAGGTTAATTCAGAATTATTTCCTATATGAATAGGACTTTGAATAGGTATCAAAGACAAAAATCTTCAAGAGTATATCCAGATAGGATTTAATGCTTGTTGCAGGTACTAATTTAATGGCATTATTCATAATAATTTGTCTAGTTCTATTCATTTTCTTAAACTTATTGCTAGCTACAAAGCTCAAATTCTAAAAGTTCATTAGACTTGGATTTGCATTTTTAAAATACTATTTTTTGTGCATTCAATATTCCTTAACAATTTCATGAGTCTTAATATGTCTGAATTGTTAATAACTGTTACAGAAGGCTGTTATGTTTACATTTCAATCCTCTGTGTATAAGAAGCTTGGTCTGCTTTAATCTGTTTCTACAATATGAGTTGCTGGATCAAATGAAAAGCAGTCTTGCCATGGGATGTGTGGAAGATAGGGAAGTCACTGAAGGAATTCCACATAAGTAATATACCGACTCCATTTGAAGTACTCTGTATCCATTTGAAGTACTCTGTAGAAGTAAGGAAGGGCTGCTTTGATCTTGGCACTGTCTCAATTGCATAAACAGTCTGGCTGCACTGACTGTATTCCAGAAGAGTCCCTTGCAGGGAGAGTTGTTGTGTACCCAGCAACTCTCTGTACCTATTAAACCTTGTAATTACAACAGGAATCACAATTTGTTTCCAGCTTTGGTGGGATAATGTCATTGCATGTCAAGTAGGATTATCATGTGGAAGGAGACCTTGCTGATGTTTTTACTTTATGTTAATCAGGAAGATCTGGTTATATTAATGGACTAGGAGGAGATGAGGAGCTGTTCTCCCTGCACTGAGACAAGACGAACCCCTTTACTGGGCTATGCTGTACTCAGCAGGTCTGTGTCCTCCGCAACTGTGTAGCAGTAAGCACAGGAGTGATATGATTAAAAAGCATTCTGCAAAGTCTGGGTTTCCTCAAACAGTATAGACTTGCTCTTCAAATACAATCCTAATGTGAGTCAGGCGCAAGGCAGCACCAGTCTTCAGTTTCTGGGAGCAAAATGATCATGTCAGTGATGGGGCCTATCAAAAGACCTTCAGGACAGACAGGCCTCCTGGTCACATCTGTACTTGTGTGGCCACAGCCTGTTGGCAAGGCACTACTGCCATGTTTCAGAGATGGCTTTAGTGTCTCTGCAAGGACAATAACTGCATGGACAAGACAGGCCAAAGTTGTGTGTGGGGTTGTTTGTTGTTGGGTGTGGTGTGGTTTTTTTTTTTTTTTTTTTTTTTTTTTCTTCTCTTCTCTTCTCTCCTTCCCCCTCTGTGATGGTGTCATCCAAAAATCTTTTCCCCTTTTCCTGATGAGTTCTTTTGTCAGTTCTTCCTTTAGTTTACTTTTAAAATAAGGAAAGCAGAAGAGAGTAGCATATAAATAAAGTGCTGAGTTTTGATATTAGCAGATGTCTATAAGACTACAGAGAACCTTACCTTCATACTAGATAACACTTATTCCTGTTCCTTTTCCCTTTCCTGTTCTTCCTCTAGTCTTCCTATATGCCACAGTGAGTCAAGCTAAAAGGTGAGTGACAGCTTGTTGGCACAGGGATGTTCAGGCTTGCTCCCTTTCTTGGAGCTGCATCACAGCTGCCCCAAAAAAAAAAAAAAAAAAATCCCTTAAGAAAGGGGGCCTCAAACTTTTTAAACAGGGGGCCGGTTCACTGTCCCTCAGACACTGTCAGGGGCCAGACTATAGTTTGGAAAAAAATGAACGAATTCCTATGCGCACTGCACATTTTATTTGTAGTAGTGCACAAAAAGGAAAAAGGATGCAATATTTAAAATGAAGAACAACTGTAATCAACAAAAACAAATAATATTTCAATGTGAACTATGGGCCTGCTTTTGGCTAATGAGGTGGTCAACATTAGGTTCCATATTTGTCACTTCTAGTCGTAGCAAGTGATGCCAGTGTTCATCGGTTAGTCTGGATCCGATTGGAGATTTCAGATGTTTCATTTGGGAAAAAGTCTGCTCACAGACAT